GGGGGGGACCACCGGGATGGGGCCTGGCGGGGGGACGAGGGGGGCATCCCACGGAGACTGGTTCAGCTTGAGCCTGAGAAGGCACGTACCAGCCCCGGAGCTTCCTCTCTTTCGGTCATTGAAGTGGGTGGTTTCGGTCTCGGGTGTGAGACACTAATGAGGTTGACTCTCTTGAAGGCTATTTTTCTCTTCGGCAGTGCACACCTTGGTTCCTCCTCAAGGTGGGATTCGCACAGTTCACCCTCTTCCTGGGTCTGCTGGTTGCCAACTGTTTTGCTCAAGTTATCAGTGGGATGTTAAAATACAGTGATTACTATCGTTGTGTTGTTTAGAGAGAGAGAGAAGTATATGACTGTATCCACTAGAGATTGCTCGTAGCTCCCGGAAGCTTCTCTGAGGCAACTGATTTTTGGTTTTCCCCAGATCTCACAGTACTGAGAGAAGCTAATTTAAAATAATGGGCCTCTAGGCCCCCAGGTACTACTGATAATTTCCATTAGCTTTTCAATTTGTAGCAGTTATATTCCTCCTTTTCCAAGGGCCCAAGCGACAGTGTGTTTATTGCAGGGTGCAGCAGGTAATAATTTTTCATCCATCTCTGTTTGACTCTATAGTGCCAATTTTTTTATCATAGCAATGCAAATTTGCCTCTTCTTAAACCATCTGAAGCCTGCCTGGTTGTAAACCTGCTTCTTGTGTCTTACCTAGGTGTCTTTGATCTTTAGTACCTCGGGTTTCTTTGATCTAGTAGTAGGCATTTAGACAAAATAGCTTCAGTCAAAATCACAAGTCTTCCAGTCTTGTGACCCAATATACTAGCATGTCAGATAACTTCTTACAAGCTACCTCACCTCATTCTCCAGGTGTGTATACACAGGCTTTCTCTCTGAAATCTTGCCAGAATGAAATGGAATCTCAGTTATGTTTTTAAGCAGGAATATTGTGTTCTCTGATAAGTTTATTGCTGTTTGTTTTGTTGGTTTCTTTCTCCCTTTAAATGTCTGCTTAAATCCCTGCTAATCAGAAATACAATGCTTACCCTCTGAGCTCTGTTGGGAGAAAACAACTATTATTTTTAGCTTTGCACGAATTTAATTTAATACCTAACCTGTGAAACTATGCTGAAAAGTCAACTGAGGTAATAATTCAGCCACCTACCGTATATCATGCAAAGCTAGGAAGTGTTATCGGAAGACCAAAAGCTGTAAGAAATCTGTTATACCCAAGTCTCTGCAGCAAGTGGTTTGTCGGTTGTATAGTAGGCAACATAAAATGCCATTCTCTAAATACTGTGAAGAGAAGGAAAGAGTTCACCGTGCAGTTAGTTGCCCAAACAGGAAGCCTGCGCTGTGTATCCCAGAACCTGGTGTGTGACCAGCCGAACAGCAAAGCCAGTTGGGAAGCTATTGTGGGCTTGTCCTAATTCAGGCATTACTCAATGCCCTTTGGTATGGAGCACAGAGAGGTGAAGCGACTTACAGACGCAGGAATAGACCTTGATATGTTGCAACTAATTTCCCAGCTACAGCTGAATCCCATGCAGATGTGCCTCCCAGGCTGGAAAACCCCTAGCTTTCTCAAGCCTAGTCTGTTCTGGAGAGAGGAAGGGATGGAGTTGTGTCTTTTGTCCCATGTTTTTCTTGAACTCTGCCTTTTTACTTTGATAATTTCCTAGAGTTTCCTATAAAAGAAGCCGTTTTCCATCACATAGATAAGGACCAAAAATTGCCCTCTATTTCACATCCATCTGAATTCAAATTTTTCCTGTGGTAAAAGTGGCAGGCTTTAGTTTTCCAGGCTTTCTCTTTTCTTCATATACTCTGATGGCCTTTTCTTCGTGAGGGCTAGGTCTACATGGATGGGTCCAGATGAGCTCTGCAGTATGTGCCCTGAGCTTGATGGATGCAAGCTGGCTCTCACCTGGGAGCTGTGTAGCCACATTAACACAGCACTGTGCTGAGCAAATCATGATGGGCTGTCATGGTTTAACTCCGGCCAGCAAAATACCACGAAGCCACTTGTGCACCTCCCCCCCTCCTCCAGTGGAGGGGGAGAATAGGAGGAAAAAGACAAGGATGCTTGTAAAAATTGAAATAAGAACTATTTACTAATTGAATGTGAGTGAATAATATATATGTCTAAATGAATATATACAAATACTACTACTAATAAGTAATTAAAATAATAGAAAATAAAACATACACAATTGCTCACCATGCGCTGACCAATGCACAGCCAGATCCCGAGAAGTGAGTCAGAGCCGGGGAGCCCACGAGACAGACCCCAAGACCTGCAACCCGAGAGCGATCGCAGCAGAGTCTGAGCAAACCCTGCGAGTGATGGCATGACCGGGAAAGCCAACCGACCCACCAGCTCACGAATGAATGAGCCAGCAAAGGAGTTAGCAAAGGAGTTAAGGAGCTAACTGAAGAGTTAGCAAAGGAGCAAAAAGAGTGTAATTGTCCCCGACCCCGCTTCCCACTTCAGTACAGAGCATGACATACTATGGAATGAAATACTCCCTCGGTTAGTTTGGGGCAGCTGTCTGAACTGTGTGTCCCCCCACGCTGCCTGTCGCCAAAGTTGGGAACACAGCTGCAGTATCAGAAGCGGAGAAAGACCTTGAGTGTGGTACAAAAACTCCCCAGCACCAGCTAGAAAGACACCTTATCAGTACTTTTCTCAAGGTAAATCCAGAAACACAGCTTCATACCAGCCACTGTGAAGAAAGTTAACTCTTTCCTGACTAAAACCAGCACACAGGCATAGCCCTGGGTTGCACGCAGCCATGCCCCAGCACAGCTGTATTGCTTCTGAATCAGACTGGCTCACATCCAAAGGATCAGTCTTAGATGTGCTGTCAAACTCCTGCATTTAGAATTTGTACCTGTACCAGTCTCCAGTGGTATAAAATATAAATCTTTTTTTCTTGGAATTATCCTTCATGGTCCAAGTATCCTACCTGTCAACAAACCCATTTTTTCAAGAATATTTGAGATATAAGACATACCAAAAAGTTATAATTTTTAGGTGTGAAAGCATACTCATTCTTAAATAAAACTGGAGTTTCTTGAATCCGCATGCTGCAAGGTCTGAATTTGTAAAGATGCTTCAAATTCGTATTTGTGAGGAGGTTTGATGTAACAGAGAGCATTCATACAGCCAATTTAATGTATCTAAACATCATAAGGCTGGTCCGCTCCTGCTTCCTGCTTGACCAGGAAATGTTTTTTCCAGAGGGATTCAAAGCAGGGGCCCAGTTTGAAGGAACAATTTATGAGAAAACAAAACGTAGTTGGTCATTCCTTTTCCTTCAGAAACTGAAAGTGCATTCCTTTAGCACGTATTATTTTAGGGCACATCAGTGTCCGCTAAATTTAAATGGTTGGAGAATTGCAAGTACTATAATGTCCACTCTGTAGGAAATTAATATTGGGCCTCAGTGAAAACTCAGGGTTTGAAGATGGGCCGTAGAATAGGACAAATGTAGTTGGCTCTTAGCACTGTGGTTACGCACGACAGTGAAAAGTTGGACTTCTGGTAGTATCCTTATTTATCAGAAACACGCATGAAATGTGTGATGGAAATAGAGAGATCTGTGGTACAACAAAACCGGGTGCTGTCTTGTATTTGCACTATAGTTTCTGATTTATCTTAGAGTATCTTGTTATCAAAACAGTGTAGTAGGAAACAAATGGTGAAAGGTGGTGGTACTGCATGTAGGTACACATTTTTTTAAAGAGACTGTAGTAAACCCAATGTTTGCTTTTGGTATTAGTATGGTAACCTCTTTTGTTTGTTTTCTTCTTTTGAAGTGATAGAAACCACCTTCTAAAAGAAGCAGAGATATTACACAAAGCCAGGTTTACCTACATTCTTCCAATTTTGGGAATTTGCAATGAGCCTGAATTTCTGGGGATAGTAACAGAATACATGACAAATGGGTCATTAAACCAGCTTTTACATGGGGTAAGTGTACTTACAGTCTTTAAATACAATTGCTGGTTGTTTCAAATAGATTGTGATTTCCATACTTAAGGGAAGTAGTATAATAAAGTGTATTAATAATATTTTAAGTTAAAGGACAGTCATTATCACTATTAGTTTTTGGTGCTTAGATAGACTTTCTGTATCCCAAAGACAACCAAACTCAGTAGACTTTAGTTATACTTTTCCTTTAATGTCGTGACTGGCTTCATGTTGAATTACTATATACAGTCACTTTAAAAATCTCTGATATTTTCTAATTAGAAGCTGAAATATTTATGCTTACTTCAGCCTGAGTGTCAGAATTATTGCCAGTGTAAATATCACACAAAGATGGGGTTTTTTTCCGGAATCTGGGTCTTTATTAAAAACAAACAAACAAACAAAACCCAAAAAACCCACACACCCAACAACCAAACAAGATCTTTACTTTAGTTTATGGAAATCAAGTGTTGCTAATCTAAACAGATATGGGTATTTCTACCATATCTTACGCTCAGGAGTAAGTTCTCCTGTGCTGAACTCTCAGTTGCTCCCATTAGCTTGGCCTGAGCATCCAGTATTGCTACTGTAAAGACACTGCAGTTGTGTCTCAACAGCACTGCAGTCTTGTCTGTACCTTTAGTATCTCATGCCTTAGAGAGCTCAGTTGTGTATTTTTCACAAAGGCATTAGTATCAAGGTAACATTTAAGATTTCAGTTGAGTTTTACTGCCCTTTTTCTTGGTGTATTAGTATTTATAAAGATAGTGATTTTTGCTTAGCTTCACCACAGCTTTTTCTTTTTCACAGTGTCAGTTGAAGATATGATTCTTGCCTTCCTTTCCATAGTCCTTAAAATCTGTGGGTTGCAGGTTTCGTACAGGAGTTCATCTGTAAATTGTATTTCCATATGAATGAGTAATACAGTAAATGTCCTACATCATGTATACCAGTCACGAACTACTAGTGAATGCTAGGGAATGGAAACTTAACACTGCGTGATTAACATTCATATGTTTGTTTTAACAGCTAACGAGTCTTAATGCTCAGGTACAATTATTTAAAGAGTTCATGTAATGTACATTTTAAAAGATTACTGCTTGTCCAAGTCATTGTCTTCTTATTATGCAAGTCTTAGTGTTGTGCTGTTAGATCAGAGAAGAGGATTATATTCTGGTTTTGTGGTTTTATCTTGGCAGAGAGATGTATGTCCTGACATTCCCTGGTGCCTGAGATTCCGCATTCTTTATGAAATTGCTTTGGGAGTAAACTATTTGCACAACATGAATCCTCCATTGCTGCACCATGACTTGAAAACCCAGAATATTTTGCTGGATGATGAGTTTCATGTCAAGGTAGACTTATTTAATTCTTACGTTCTTCAGCTTCCATAATGAGTGAAAGTGTTTTAATTATTGTAGAGGAGGAAGAGTGAGGAGGTGGCCATACAGAGGGGCCGTAATTGTATGCCAGATGTTTTCTTCTGTCCTTGCAGACAGAACTTAGGAACTTCTTTAGAAGACTCTGCTTTGCTCAAGTGTGGATTTGATTCATCTGAAAAGACCAGAAAGCCAGAATTTGAGCTGTCTGTGCTATAGCAATAGCTGATACTCAGTAGCAGTGACACTCTTGTATGGCAGTCTTCCAAGTGTACATCTATCTCTTTCTGAGAAGAAAATAGAAAGTGTTCCTGTCTGGCATGCTCAGACAAGTTCTGGAGGATAGTAGATCAAATTCAAATGTTAATACCCCATTTGATATTTATCATGCAATATATACATACATGTTCCGTTACTGTAGTACGAGAACATGTAAAATGTAACTGCGAAATCTGAACATGTTGGAAGATGACTTTTGTGAGGCTCCTTAGAGCAAGCAAACATACATAAAGAAGTAATATTAGTTTAAAACTTTAATTCTGCCTTTTAAAATGTCACTGTGCCAGGGTATTGGCCCAGATGGCAACAAAAGACCACACCACCGCTGGCTCACTCACTCCTCCCCCGGTGGGAAGGGGAGAAGAAAATACAAGGGAAGGCTCGTGGGTCAAGACAGGGACAGGGAGAGATCACTCAGCAGTTATGGTCATGGGCAAGACTGACCCGACGTGGGAAAGAAAGATCGATTTATTTAGTACCAATTAAATCACAGTAGGACAAGGAGAACCAAAACAGATCTTAAAACACCTTCCCCCACCCCTCCCTTCTTCCCGTGCTCAGCTTTGCTCCTGATTTCTCTCCCTCTGCCCCCCAGCAGCACAGGGGGACGGGGAATGGGGGTTGTGGTCAGTCCATCACACGCTGTCTCTGCTGCTTCTTCCTCCTTATGGGGAGCATCATCACGCTCTGCCCCTGCTCCAGCATGGAGTCTCTCCCACAGGAGACAGTCCTCCACGAATCTCCCTGACATGAGTCCTTCCCACGGGCCGCAATTTTCTTCTCTAACTGCTCCCGTGTGGGTCCCTTCCATGGGGTGCAGTCCTTCAGGAGCAGCCTGCTCCAGCATGGATTTCCCACAGGGTCACAGGCTCTTCAGGCACACCCCTCTGCTCCGGCGTGGGGCCCTGCCCGGGCGGCAGGGGAGTTTCTGCTCCCCCGGAACCCTCCATGGCTGCAGGGGCACAGCCTGCCCTCTCACCATGGGCTGAGAGGAACCTCTGCTCTGGCCCACCTCCTCCCTGCTTTTCCCCTCTGACCTGAGGGTCTTCCTGGTTGTCTGTGTCACAGCCCACTCCTCTCTCTTTCCATTCCTGTCTGAATTCTGTTTCCGCTTCTGCTGCTGGTTCTCTTTTTGTTTTTCCACTCTTAAATATGTCAATCGCTGACTGGCTCGGCTGTGGCCAGAGGCAGGTCTGACTTGGATCGAGGAAGCTTCTAGCAGCTCCTCACAGGAGCCATCCCTGTGACCCTTCCCCCTCTACCAAAACACACCACCACCCAAACCCAACATACACCACCATGATGTGAAAAAGAGACTAAAAGTACTTCTGACAAAATGGTTAGGTGCTTCCATAATTGCAGGAGTTGTTGTTCTTTATTGTAAGAGATCCTCTGTTTTTAAAATTGATAAAATGTACTGTTTAAGTAAATGAGAAGAGCTATTTTTCACGTAACTTATACTTGAATGGTGAATGCTTCAGTTGTTACTGAGATGAATGTTTTTGTGAGCCTTTTGAGCAAAGATCCAGTGCTGATTTCTTCTTTCTCCCGTCTGCAAAGACATTTTTTTCTTGGCAGCCAGGTGCCTTACGCAGCTTTGTCTCCACTCACACCCTCAGCAGGTCATACCTCCTCCCACTCAGATGTGCTGATATTGCCATCTATCTCTCACGCTTCCTGATAAACCTGATTGGGGAACTGGTCCAAGTAATTTTTTTATTTAGGGTTTTTTTAATCCCTAACAGGGCTGGTGTGGTCTGCTGCTCTGTATGACCACATCTAAGCAGTTGCTTTGCTGGAGCAATTAAAGGGAAGAGGTTAACACTTGCATACCTGTCCTGCCTCCTGCAAGGAGTCTGGAAGACTGTCCTTAGGGTTTTTAAGTGTTTTAGGGGGAAAGCAAGATTCTTTAAATTAGGGCAGCTGGCAGTAAATGCAAGGAAGGTTACCATGCATGCCAAATAGAAGTATTGCAATGTATAGAAGTAATGCCATCCCTAGAGCTTTGCTGGCTATCCCAGACCTACTGAGTGAGCAGGATAACATGACCAGTTACAGTGAGGAAGGTTTGATGAGAGTGGATGGTAGTGAAAAAAAGGGTATTCTTCACTGGATTTTGGCTGTACACTCTCCAGAAAGGCTATTTATGTGTCTCAGTGGCCACAGTGCTTGCACAGGCATCTTTGTTGAAAATGGTTTTGCTCTAATGCAAATGCTGGGCAAGTGCAGAGCTCATCACTGGCTACTTATATTTCTCCCTGGTATGCCAGACACTCTGGAACTCAGCTACAAGCTTATTCTGCTGGCTTTTCATCTCCCTACCCATAACCCAGCCTGACATCTTGCTTTCTGGCTAGTGGATGTCTGGGAATGTCAGCTGAAGTCAAGCAGTTCTTTATGTAAATGTACAGTAAACTCAGAAAACCAGAGTGCGCAGTAAAAAAAACATTCAGCAACTTTTTGTATCACAGAATTTCAGAATATCAAATTTATTAATGCAGAAGTAATACTTCAGTATTTTGGAGATGAGGTGGAGTGCCCTAAAATTTTTCTGTGAGTGCAACTGTCTCAGGACATCTGCAGGCTAAATTACATAGAGCTATTATGATCTATATTAAATTTGTGTTTTTCTCACAACCAGGGAGCTACAAGTACTCAATGGCTTTATGTTTGCTTGTTTTTAACCAAAAAAGTGATTTTCTTCATGCACGACAGACTTCCATAGTAGATTCCTCAGCCATAGAGTAGATGAATCCTTCCTTAACAGAATAACAGGATAGGGCAGTGTTGTAGCATGTAGAATGAATCATGACCTGGGAGTGCTTTCTGAATTGGAGCTGGTGTTTCCTGTTTCTAGGACAACCACATACTTTTTATGTGTTAGGTTAAGGACTTTTAGTGACCCGTTCTTTTGGGCATATTTCAGGAATTTCTAAGAGTCAGGTGATAAGTTCAGTCTTTCTCCTCAGAACAACTGATTTGTCCTTTCCAGATTGCAGATTTTGGCATGTCAAAGTGGCGTGTCATATCCATGTCACAATCACGAAGTGAAACCTCTTTGCCAGAAGGAGGGACAATTATCTACATGCCACCTGAAGATTACAATCCCAGTCAGAAAACCCGTGCAAGTGTAAAACACGATATCTACAGGTAACTCATGTTGATCTCAAGTGAGCTTTGCAATCTGAATTCAAATTTGATTTACTGAACTTAGACTTTATTTTCAGTGCTCTTACTGTTTTCAGAATTGTCGTAAGTGTGTAAGCAAAATGAATCTGGGAAAACAGAATTGAGTGGTGGCTGGATTTGATCGCCTGTTTCTTTAGGAAACACTGTGACAAATGTAATGCTCCAGAAATTAAGCTAGAACTACAGAAACAGATAGAGGAGACTGGTTTCTATAAATGAGTGGACAGATAGAGACAATGTCTGGGGGGGAAGCTGGAGTGTACTTCCCAGGTGCAGTGTCTGTATCTTACCTGACTCTGACTTTGTGTAGGGATAGAGGTGTGGGTGAACTCCATTCTCCCTGCTGCTACCCTGCTTCCCATGGGAATGTCAGAGAGTGTCAGTCCAGACTGGGGAGATGCCACAGTATTGCAGTTAGGAAATAGCAGCTGGGACTCTGGGGCTCACTTTAATTTGTGTACCGAGATTTAAATTGCATGTACATAATTCACAATGTATTAGGAGAGCAGAGCTAATACAGATTTGGAATTGGAGTTCATATGCCACATACCTTTCTGTACTTAATATTATCAACTAGTTCTAGTTGAAGTCACTGGTTAAAATTCCTGATGGTTTTATATATTTAGGTTATTGTTGTACTTAGCTATAGTCAGTCGCGTGTGTGCATCATTTTAGCAAAATGTTTCTCATAAAATAGAAAGCTGAGTACGTTGTGTTATTTAGTGTTGATAATCTAAAATAACATCTTCTATGTAACCTAAAATAATGTCTTCTGTACTTTTTATACTTCAAACAGTTATGCAATTATTATGTGGGAAGTGATGTCAAGGAAACAGCCATTTGAAGGTAAGGCCATGTCTCCACTTAATTTATTTTTCCAGCCTTCTGTAAAGGCTAAACCTGAGACCTGGGTACCTGGGGACTTTATTTTAGGGGTTACTTTTTAATGATTCTACTTGTAAGCTTGTTGAAGAAGACTTTGAGTTACTTTTCATATTAGACTCCTTTTCTGTATTTTTTTTTTTAATTAGAGTGTTGTTTGATAAATTAAAAATACAGTTTTTTGTAAAATAAGAAGCAACCTTATTTTGGTGAACTCTAAATACTATGCCTGCAAACTAAATTATTCCTCCTGTAGGAACCTATTTATATTGCATATATTTCTAATGAATGCACAATGTCTATTTTGACAGAAGTTATAAACCCCTTGCAGATAATGTATAGTGTGTCACAAGGACAGCGGCTAGACTTAAGTGAAGAAAGTTTATCAATGGACATTCCTCATCGAGAGCTCATCATAAGATTGATAGAAAGTGGATGGGCACAAGACCCAGATGAAAGACCATCATTCTTAAGTGAGTTTACCTTTCATACTGAGAAAACATTTTTAAATTGACAGATTTCTGCTGAACATCGTACTTGCATAGCAAGCTTGTAGTCGCAAAAGGGAAATGGTAAAGATGTCAAGAGACACGTGCTCAGTCTTGCTGTGTATGATAAAGTGCTTGTCTGCTTCATCATGTCTGTGAACAAACTTGTATGAATGGAACTATGTACATGCCATAAAATCGAAGTTGTTAGTTGGAGTATTTTGCATTTGCCATCTCTAATGTACCTGTAAGAAAGCAGTATGTTTTAACTACTTGCACTTTTTCTTTCCTGTTACATGGAATGTTTTTCTTTTAACGAAGGGGAAAATTAAGTATATAATGAGTGCTGTGGGATTTATGAACGGGCTGGCAAACACACCAAAAAACCAGTGCACATCACATAACCTATAGTGACTTCACCTTGTGTTTGCATCTCTGTATATATCTTTTTCACTGAGACTTTATCTTTGACTATTCCACCTCCCAGATCACGCAGGAACTGGTTGAACTATTGTGCTTAATTTTCTCCTTCCATCTGTCTACTGTTTAGCTTTCTGTCCACAAGACCAGATACACTTTCTGCCTTTTTTTATAGTGGATTACAGAATTTAGAGAATAAGATTGACGTGTGGGCTTGTAGAACTTAGAGTGGCATAGCATGGACAGGAAAAGTTTGTTTTGATTTTTGAAAACCTGTGTTTTTCACATTTAACCAACATTTATCTCATTAAAAATTCCCCTTAATATACTTAATTTGATCGTGACTTTTGGCCCGTTTGCCCTTTGTTTAAAGGTAATTCCACCAAAATTGGCAGAAAATGATTACCTGTTTTCAACTGTGAAATTTGCTCTTGCGGATGTTGCTGTGGTCACATATGTCAGTGTGGTGAAGCTAACAGTGGTTTCTGCAGCTGCCTTCCTGGGCTTAATTTGCATGTCCTTTAAAAACTTCCTCCCTATTGCTGTAGAAAAGATGATCGTAATTCTGTAAGGAAAGCTTAATTGCCTTGGAGATGCAAGAATGTAGCATGAGAGAGTTATTGAAAGTATTCACATGCAGAACGGAACAAAGAGCTCTGGCTTAAACAATTCTATATTTTAAGTTTCTCACTAGTTAGGTTGAAGATGCAATGACTCAAACATGAAATACGAAGGGGTTTTTTAGTTGGACCTGGTGGGTTTTGGTTTTAGGGTGTTGGTTGGTTGGTTGGTTTTTAATGTTACAAATAGGTCTGCAATCTTAATGCTTTATTTTTAGCTTTGGGGAACAGAAGTTTGTTTATTATTTTGCAAACCTTTATAGACAGTCTTCGAGCTGTAAAGTGTTAGAAAGTCTCAGTTAGGTAGCTTAGAAAGAAACGTTCATAACTTCTTTTTTTGCACCAGTTTGGCAGAGGGAAAAATGGGGGCACATTGAAACACATACACCATCTTCATGTTCAGTTTGCTGTCCAAAATGGATTTCATGACCTTTTTTGAGGCAGTCTTATTTTTCACTAAGAAGATTTTGAAATGTCAGATTATTTTGGCATGAGTCTGGTTTGTATGATTTACAATCAGGCCCAGTCAGCATGCGTTTATGAAAGGCAGGTCCTGCTTGGCTCACATGATCTTCTATGACAAGATGACCTGCTTAGTGGATGAGGGAAAGGCCGTGAATATCGTCTACCTAGGCTTTAGTAAAGACTTTGACACCATTTCCCACAGCATTCTCATGGAGAACCTGGCTGCTCATGGCTTGGATGGGCACACACTTTGCTGAGTAAACAACTGTCTGGGTGGCTGAGCCCAAAGAGTTGTGGTGAATGGAGTTAAATCCAGTTGGTGGCCAGTCACAAGTGGGGTTCCCCAGGGCTCAGTACTGGGACCAGTTCTGTTCAATATCTTCATCAATGGTCTGGTTGAGGGGATCGAGTGCACCCTCAGTGAGTTTGCAGATGACACCAAGTTGGTTGGGAGTGTTGATCTGCCTGAGGGAAGGAAGACTCTTCAGTGGGATTTGGGCAGTCTGGATTGATGGGCCAAGGTTAATTGTATGAGGTTCAACAAGGCCAAGTCCTGGGTCCTGCACTTGGGTCACAACACCCCACTGCAATGCCACAGCCTTGGTGGAAAGCTGACTGGCGTAAAAGGACCTGGGGGTGTTGGTCAACAGATGGCTGAATATGAGCCAGCAGTGGGCCCAGGTGGCCAAAAAGGCCAATACCATCCTGGCCTGCATCAGGAGCAGTGTGGCCAGCAGGACCAGGGTAGTGATTGTCCCCCTGTACTGGGCACTGGTGAGGCCGCACCTCGAATCCTGTGTTCAGTGTTTGGACCCTCACTGCAAGAAAGACATTGAGGGGCTGGAGCATGTCCAGAGAAGGGCAGTGGAGCTGGAGAAGGGTCTGGAGCACAAGTGCTGTGAGGAGCGGCTGAGGGAGCTGGGGGGGTTCAGCCTGGAGAAGAGGAGGGTCTGGGGAGACCTTATCGCTCTCTACACCTACCTGAAAGGAGGGTGCAGGGAGGTGGGTGTTGGTTTTTTCTCCCAAGTAACAATAGGATATGGCCTCAAATTGCTCCAGGGAGAGGTTTATATTGGGTATTAGGAAAAATTTCTTCCCTGAAAGGGTTGTTAGGCATTGGTACAGGCTGCCCAAGGAAGGGATAATTACCTGAGATATTTACTAAAGTGTGACATAACTTGGGTTCTGTTATTACTGGCATGTCTGTAGTGAGATGTTCTCTGAAGAAAACATGCGCTGCTTTTTCCTCTACTTTACTATCATAAAGAGAAAGAGGATCTTGCAAAACTGTTGCAAAATTAGGGGAAGTAAAGCTCACTGATTGGGAAATTTTGCAATTACCATAGCGGGGGGTGGGCGGGATGTATCCGTTACAGGAATGTAAGACTTGCAGGCTGGCACAGTCCTGGATCTCTTTTGATACAAGGTGCTGAGGTGGCCAGATCAGGGCAGGTTTTCTTTACAACAGTTTCACTTCACCTAACAGGTGAAAGCAAGAAATTTCTGTTTAACAGTGTAAGTGGTTTGATGTGTATCAATAGCCAAATTACATTTGTAACTGGGAGAAAGTAGCTTTAGCAACATGAAAACTTAATTTCCACTTCCATTCAGCAAAGTACTCTTTCTTTGTTTAGAATGTTTAATCGACCTTGAGCCAGTCCTGCGAACATTTGAGGAAATAGCTATGCTGGAAGCAGTAATTCTTTTGAAGAGATCAAAGGTAAGTGGCTTTGTTACAGTCATGAGTTGGTCAGATAAGCTGGTAACTTTTACTTGCTAAAAGAAATGTAATCTCCTTTGTATTTATCTAATCTTGTATCTGGCTGAAGCATGTGTTTGTACAGAGCTGTCACCTTGTCTTAAAGCAGAAATTTAATACAGGTAACTGTCTCTTCCAGTCACTGTATGAATCACGATGTATTTACAAGAGTGGAAAGAGAGCAGATGTGAAGCAGATATCTTTGAATATACCTCTGAATCCCCAAGAGGTAAGTATTTTACATACTGCATTTGGTATGTCGTCATCATTAAAGATCCTGAGAGCTTAAAGGGGGCTTAACTTAGTAAGGGAGAATTGTTCTGCAGTTTACTTTCCTATGCAGCCAGGAAAGGTATAAAATGGGTTCGTTGAGCCAGGGTATAACAAATGCATAGCCATATAGGTGAAGAAAGTAAAGGGTGGGTAAGCAGAAATAAGGGCATATTTGATGTATCCTCTACATGTGGGAAAGCCATCCCCCTTGAGGAGAAATGCAGCACACAATGTCTGCAACCTATAAGATTGTTTCCTACTCCCTTATACCTCTATGGGGCTTGCATATATAGGGCCATAGGGATTTGCTTTTATATTTTGATTCTTAAATGCTGCTGCTTTTTTGTTCTTACTAATAGTTAAATTTAGTTAAATAGTTAAATTTACTAATAGTTAAATACAAAATTGCTGTGCGCTAAGGAAAAAACACAAGTATTAGGATTACATAACTTCTTCCAGTTTACTGTATTTCAGTTGTGCCGTCTATTTAGCATTTAGTTAATAGGGAAAAGACAGTGATGAGAAAGTACTCTGTAAAAAAATTGCAACTTTGTATTTATTTAATGTGCCTTTTCAATATACAACTGGAATCATTTCAGGAAACATGTTCTGCCTCCATACAATGTGATGCACTTCCCCTTCGGAGCATCTCTCCAGATATATCAAGACTCAAGTCAGTGTCCAGGTGTAATATCCTCTCATCAGGTAGAGATACTCATGACTTTGTGTAAATTTAAGTTCCCATTGCAGATTTTAAACTCCTGCTGTGCCACTGCATTTGTGTAGTAGAAAGCTGGATCTCTGTTGGTGTCAAAAAACGAGATGTGTCTTGTAAGCTTTGTGCTCTGGGTAAAAGACTAGAGTATTTTAGCTCTGATTTTCTGTTCCTGTCACTTGAAAAATCCCCACAGTTGACAGTTTCAGTTTCCTATTCAGGGTCGTGAGTGCAGAGATAGCATTTACTTGTCCCTTCAGACTCCTGGCAGTTTAGTTAATCATTTGTGAACTACTTCTAAAGATAAAAAAGCTGAACGTTTTGAAGCATTGCTAAAGCTGAAACTTTAGGAACTTAGCTGAAACTAAGCTGACCTAAAAGGTGAAACTAAAGCTGAAACTTTAGAAACTTGCAAACTGGAAGTTTCTAATGCAGCTCAACCGCTTGATCATTTTTAATTCAAGAAATAAAACATCTTTAATAAGAGGATTGTCTTGCAAAAGTATCTGCACAGACCCTTTGTAGAAGTCACCTTTTTTGAATAAAAGTTGGCAAAATTCCCACACAAAACTCAATTTTGAGGTTTTGCTGACATCAGAAGCCAGAAAAATGCAATGAGACCCGGGTAAAATCACAATACATTGTGAACCTAAAACTGCACTTGAGTTTCTTCTCTTGAGAGAATGCAAACAAATACTTCAAAAGAATGGAGCATCCTGTGGCTCTGCAGGGACCAGTGGTGTGAAAGCAGACAAGATGACTGACTTCACTGCTGTGAAGTAGGGCATCAAAAAGTGTGCTGAGGTGCTGCAAAACTGGAGATATTCTGGTAGAGTTAGGTAGGCACAGGCAATTTCTTTTCCAGCACCTGTTTGAACACATCCACAATTCTGGGCTTGTACTCAGTCTACTAGAAAAATATAAATACAGCAAGGAAACTAAGTTATAGAAGGCTTGAGGGATTTGAGTGACAGAGGAAAATGGCAGAAAGCAAATTTGGTGTAGTTTGGCTGTACCTCTACCCAAGCATTTATCTATACGCATAGCATAAAAATCTTGAAGATGAGGAACTTGTCATTACCAAGCTTAATAGGAATGTGGTGATGAATTTTAGAAAACGGAATACTAGATTGAATATGAGCATGGACTTTTTAAGTGTAATCAGATAAGATAATGATAAGTGTCAGCCCTTCTTGCTGCTGGTTCCTGTTAAAAAATTGTCATACCTGCCTGTGAAGGCCATTGATGAGATTATGGTGGTACTATTAATGTGATTGATTAGTTGATGGTCCTTTACAGAGTCACTGCTTTGACTTTGTATGTATAGATACTGTAAAGCCTGTGAAAATAGCATCTACAGAACCATACTGCAGCTGAAGTGTTTGTTATTAATTTGCCAGTATTTGCAGCAGGTGGTTTTATAATGGAAAGCAAGACTGACATTGTTCTTTCTTTGCCTAAATCAGATGCAGTTTTTTCAGGTGAAAATCTATTCCCAGGTATCTGTTGGCAAGAGATGAGTTTGGCATGGCACCAAGGCAGAAATGAATGACTACAGATTTTAGTTGAATTGTTTTTTCCACCAATACAATTAGTAGAGTTTTTCAGAAACTTGCTCGTTCAGAGCTGGGAACTGTCTTTCAATTTCAGCTTCTTGAATTTTTCTTCCCTAGCCAGCTTATGCACACACTTTTCTTGGGCTTTAAGCTTAAATAGCCCTTTTCCCATTTCACTTCTGACATAGAGAGCGATCCTTTAATACACCTTGTTTTGCTAGAAAAACAGGATACACTCTTTTGAAGTTCATTTGTAAAATAAGCTGCTTCATTTTCCTGGTATCCTGCTAGTCCTCTCTGTGTGTGTTCTAACTTAAGTCATTGAGCTAAGGCCACCAAACATCTGTGCTCAGTGTTAGAGACCAAGTGTGACAAGTGTTTTCTGCCTGCAGTAAGAACTTTACTTAATGAACCTTAGCATTTCAATTTTCCTTTCTCACAAGATCCTTTGTTGCAGAATAATCTACCTAGCTTTGTTGTGGGGTTTTTTCCCTCGTCTCAATTACAAATCATTAGTTCCATCTTGAAGCAGAAAGTCTAGGTCTCATGTTTTGTGCTACCAAATTTCCATTTCTATTACTCCAGTCTTTTAGGTCAACTAGTTTGGTTCTGAGTAACCTGGGTCAACATGTTCTTTCTGAATAACATCGGCAGTTTCATTAGCATGTTTCTATTACGCTATCGTCACTGGTCAAGTTCATCCTCCCATACTCGTACAATCCCAGTGGTTTTGTCTCTAATGCTATTAAAGATCCATCTGTGCCTAGAGATCTATAGCAATCTATCCCAGCAGAGCTGTTTAAAATCCTTTTCTAAAGTGATCTTTCACTCACAGCAGTTGTCTCCTAATCCTTTGCCATTCATGCAGTAGATAACATCTGCTGCTTCACACTATATAGCTCTGCCCAGCGTACTTTCTCTTTAATGGAATGAAATACTAGTTACTATGAGTTCTAGTCCACCATTTTTTAAATAATGAGAGTTTCATTTATTTCAAATTTTCCTATTCCTGCTCCTTGTACTTAGAGCCATATTCTTCCACAGGTCAACACTCTGATCTAGGGATATACCGTAAAATATCCCCACTGAAGTGAATTTAGGTTGTTTATTACTTATTTTATGGAACTGCTCTAAATAGTCTCTGGTGGCTGTATTTTATTTGAAATTAAAAGTGGTACAGCCTGCTTTTTTTTTTTTTTCCCTCCTCCCTCCCTCCCTTTTTTATTTTTTAAAGATGGAAATTCCGGAGGTCTACAGTCTCTCAGCAGTCAGAGCATGGATGAAAATATCTCTGTAACTCAGAGTGCCAAACTACTTGTGCATCCGTACAGTTATTTTCCCTCATCTGACAAGAGTATTTCAGATGCCTCAAATTCTGCATCATGTATGCTGCGGTCATCACCAGTTCCTTCAGGTACAGCAAACACTGATTTAATTCAAAGACCCACAATAAGTGCCCTTTTATGTCCTTGTATATCAAATATATGTGTGTATGAAATGAAAGGTGGAACTGTTGTTCATCTGTAAAGCGAACACAAAGCATTCTACAAATGAAGAATGCAAGTAATTCTGTCCTTGTAGCCTTATAAAGTAAGTAAAATCAATGCAAAATGTGATCTAGTACATGTATCTGTAGCCCCTAGTTTTTTTTCTCTCCTTTTAATCAAACTTAATTCCTTGGGTCTTCTTTATCCCATTCCCTTGGCTGATAATATTTCTCCTTTCTCATACTGCTGTAGCAGTGCTGCAAGCCAACAGAACAGGAGAAGATTTAGCTTGAGCTTAACTCATCTTATTGCCTGTCACTTCTCCCCAGTTTTTAGGCCTGTCAGTCTTCCCTTGAGTAATAGCAGGGCAAGAAGAAGCAGCAGCTGTGTCAGCATCTCCCCTTTAATGATAGTCTGTGTTAGTTAAGAGCCCAACGCATGGCATTCCTATGCCTCAAATAAATGTTAAAAGCATGCTTCCAAAAAAAAATAACAGAAAGAAACTTTAAGGCATGATGAATTATTCAGAGAGATTTTTTTTATGGGCCACACGGGCCACACAGTAACATGCAACTTCATAAACATCGGCGGCATCATCCCTCTTCTGGAAATATGAGAATCTGCAGCTTTTCACTGTGCAGAGCCTCAGCTTGAGGAAAGTACACAAGAAACTACAGGGGTGTTGTCAGTAAACTTCAACAAAAATCCCACTTGAAAGTGAAGTTACCATCTCTCTCTTTAGTACCAGGTCGTGTTGAACACTAGAACAGGTTGCCCACAGAGGCTGTCGGAGGTCCCATCACTTGGAGGTGCTCAAAATTCAGCTGCACAAGGCCCTGAGCAGCCTGAGTCATGCTGGAACTTGGCCCAGCTTTGAGCAGGCCATTAGACCAGAAGGCGAGGGTTCCTTCCAACCTAAACTATTCTGTGAGTCTGATAAAATAAATACTCTAACCATCAAATTTGACAAATTGGAACATTTTAAAAGTGGAATACAATAGTGAAATGTTAAAATCACGTTTAGTTGTCTAGTGTATTTCTGACCAAACCCAAGCTTTAAACAGCTCTTGCTCAGTCTGTTCTTTCTTCTATGGCACTATTCATTGGCACACAGTTACAATCCTAATATGTTTTTTGGTTTTTTTTTTTAATCCTCCAATCTCAGATTTTGTTTTGGAAACCATACATCAGAATGTAGCTCATCAATGGATCCAAAGTAAAAGAGAAGAAATTATTGATCAGATGACTGAAGCATGTTTGAATCAGTCACTAGATGCTCTTCTGTCAAGATTTTTACTCATGAAAGAAGACTATGAACTTATAAGCACCAAACCTACAAGGACATCAAAAGTCCGACAGCTGCTTGATACATCAGATAGCCAAGGAGAGGAATTTGCCAGAATTATAATACAAAAGTTGAAAGATAACAAACAGCTAGGACTTCAACCTTATCCAGACGTTGTATCTAATTCTCTAAGACTGCATCTTTAAATCTGTTCTCTCTGTATAAAGCTATGTGAATATTTCTTACAACATGGTTCTTGTTTCTTTAATAGTTTTATATATGTACTGCCTTGTCTTTACCGTGCCTTTGCAGTCTCAGAAATGACACTGAGTTCATCTGGACTGCATTTCATGAATTGCAGATTAATCAGTTGGTGTGCAGTCATAAAGCAAAACACTTGACATTTGCTGATTCAGTTCATACAAGTATTTTGTTTATACATGCCAAAGAAAAAACATTAAAAGTTCCCTGTTTTACATATTTTCTGTTTATATCCTTTCCTTTATATTCTTTATATCCTTCTATAGATCTTTAATTTATATCCTTTCCTTTCACCTCACAGATTTGAGGCAACCCATCCCAGCTTGGAATATTGTTTATTCGCCCTCCATCTAGTCTTTCCCATAGAGCTGCTCTATTTCAGTGCTTGTATGCTGGATTTATAATAAATTTTCTTCTTTCAGCCATACTGGTTACTTCTCCCAAGATACTGGATAAGCACAGTAAGTGGGAGGAAGTTTACATTGTATTTTTACAGGATTTCTTATTATCTTTTGGTTTGGTTTTCCCGTTTTGTTGCCAGGACAAGCACTTCAGGCCACTTCATAAGAAGAATGTCAGTCCAAAAATGAGCCTGGGGACAAGGAGGAAATTGTGCTGATCATCTTTGCTGTGCTAAGAACTGATACACTAGAAAGGGTGCAGCTGTAGCTCTTTATGTTATTTGGTTACACCCTCTTAAATCATGGTATGGGGAGAGCCACATAAAGCTTATAGACGGGAACCCTCAGTTAATGCCTCTTTTACATATCCTTAGTTAATGCCTCCCTTACCTTTGTCATCTGCTATAAATACTTCTTATGTCATGCTGCTGGATCAAACTTCTGATTTGATTTTATTTTTAGTATTTACATGATGAGCAGTAGTTTAGGTCTGTACAAAGATCAAGCATGCACCTGGAAGTGATGGAAGTGATGTGCGTGGTTTGAGTCTGCCATGACCTGCCTTATAACCTTCTCTGGACAACTCTTCTACTGTCCTTCTCTGTCTGAAGGATGGTGCTAACATGTTGAGGCACAAATGGGACCACCTGAGAGGAAAAGGTACGTGGTGTTTTTTTCAGCCCATTTCATAGAATCACAGAATGGTTTGAGTTGGAAGGGACCTTCAAGATCATCTAGTTCCAACCCCCCTGCCATGGGCAGGGACACCCTCCACTAAACCAGGTTGCTCAAAACCTGGCCTTGAACACTTCCAGGGATGGAAATCCACTTCCATAGAATTCAGAAAGCCTTAGTGACTTTACCTAGGCGGATTCAAAACTAGTAAAAAAAATACTGGTTTTAATTTGTCAAAACACAGCACAGGCAAATGATTTTCACAAGCACTAATAAATAATTATAAATTCTGCTAAAACTGAAATTTGAAAAAAACAAAATTTCACATACAATAAAGCTGAAATCTTCCTAAACTACCATATCAAAAGGATAAATGAGAAATCCTATGTGATGGCTGTTTGGAAACCCATGGTGATATGAGATCTGCCCATTTCAATGATTCAAGCTTCAGTATGGTCATTACTAGTTGCCAAAAAAACCCCAGAGTACTTTTTTCAATATATGTCTGAACTTATTTTGTCAACTGAATCACAAGAATACAACATATAATTTATTGGATAGAAAAAGAGCTTTTTTCGTTGTTTTAAGTTTTTGGCATAAACTAGGAATTTGCTCTTACCCTGCTTCTCTCTGAAGGCTGTAAAAGTCAAACTATATAGCTGAGACAGAACAGCGGTGCAATGGGTGGTTGTGCATTTTGTAGAGCAGACCTGACAATGTCCAGCAGAGACAGGCTCTGAGGAAAGCTGCCAGCCTTGCCAGGGAGAGTCAGAACTGTGTGTTTCACCGCATGTCATGTTTTTAAGCCACGTTTGTTCATTAGTAGTAGTGCCTAAAGAAAGATTTGTGTTGTTCAAGTCAGCAGAATGGCTTTTCATCATGTATTGAGAGCTTTCTGAATTGTGGTTTTGGTACCTGGAAGAGCAGAGGCTTCTTTAGGGGTATGTTTTTACAAGGTGATACGTTGTAAGCTCTGCTTGAACTGCAAACTTTGTAATTTATTACTTGAAATTAGGTGTCAGAAGGTAAAAGCAGTCCTGCTGTGTGTAAAGAGCTTTGGCCTGTCTGGTAGCACTTGGCCTGCGAGGTGGCATCTGTTGTCTCATGTCCTGGGGTCTGCACCTTCTTCCTATTTCCCAGCTCACTGAAAGCAACTTCTGCTTGGAGCAAGCAGAACTTGAGGACAGCACAGATGCCACGCTTCCTAGCTCTGCGTGCTGTGCACGGTACACGACGATGCCTGTACTGCCTGGCAGGCTGATCTGAATTTGTGATTTGTGCATCCTTCTCAATGCTGCTGCTGCTGCACCTTTGCACTCACTTGCCCCTGACATGTTCTGCAACCTGCCAGTGTGCCTGCTGCAGCTGTTCTGCCCCGCTCCCCAGGAGCTGCACTTCCCCGGAGGTCATGCAGATGGGTGGAAGAGCGCTGGGGAACAGATGGGGTACATCCTAGAGCCATTCCAGGTGCCACCAAGGCAGCTGTGGCAGTCGCCTGCCCTCCAGTCTCTAAGGAGAAAGTTTTGGGGTAGATGGGAGGCAGAGGCTATATGCCTGAGCCACACAGGCTGTGTGGAGGGTTTGTAGAGGTGACAAGTAGACATATGAGCCCATACGTCAAAGTCTGATGCTTCTGTTGGTTAACTCTAGTGCTACGAAAGAGGAACATAAGTTTCCGTGCAACTGGAACACTCGGCACTGATTTGACTGTGACAGCCAGTCCAGGGGCAGTGAGGACAGCCAGGCACAGTCATGAAGTTGATGCACAACTTCTCAGTCGGGAAGCCCAGGTTGGGGGTGTCTGCTTGTGGCAGGTGGGGCCCTGCTCTCAGAAAGGGTTGCAAGCACTTGAGAAGACTACCATGTGGGAAGCTGATTGATTCCTACCCCCCTCCTCTTCCAATATGCAATATTGTTTTATGCGCTCCTCACTTCTTCATAGCAATTCCTAACAGATTTCTCTTTTTTTTTTTTTTTCAGTCCAAGGAGAGATGCTGCTGCTTTTTCAGAGCACTGTCTTTGTTGACAGTAAGGGCTTTTCTCCAAGTTGCAGTAGCTCATTGAGAGCCTTTTAAAATGTACACATAAAACCCTCTTTTTACATGTACATGGGTAAAAACAGAAGCATAGGACAATACATGTTATTTTGCACTTGCTACCGTTAGATTTTATATGGCATGGTAGCAACTAGTCACTTAGTAGTGTAACTGCTTCAGGTATCCGTAATCATCTTTAATTCTGACTACACTGAATATCTTGTGTCATTAGGTTATTATTCACCCTTTTTTGCTGTACTTGTCCTCTTTCACAGCGCTTGGAAGCCATCTGCTCTTGGTGATGTGATGCTCCTCTTCAAAAGAAAACTAGAAATGCCCTGCCCTAGAACCAACCTACGCTGGTGTGTCCATGCAGTGAAGAGCAAGCCCAACCAGAGCTCAGTCCTGCGCGTCTTGTCACCACACTGGCCACCTACGGAGTTCACTGCTGTCTGCACAACACTTTGCTGATCCTCATGTTCTGCTCCCACACCTTGAGTTAAGATGGTTGGTAGAGGTTCCTTGACGTGGTCTGTGCGCTATGCTCTGTCCTGCGTCAGCGTTGTGGGAAAGGAAGTACAGATCTGATTTTACCAAGATAACACTAATGGTGGCCTGTGTTTGTCAGTCGGACTCTGGCAGGTAATGGCAGAGGGTGGTTAGCAGTATTTTTTCAATCAGGGTCAACTGTAAGTGCGTCTGTTGCAGATGTCGAGTGTAGGAGCCTGTGGTGGCCAAGCACCGACATGCAGGGGGCAGAGGTGAGGAACAGGAGGAAGCAGAGGACTTGGCAGTGGTGCAGCTGAACTCTGCTGTGTCTCGGCAATGATATGAATGAAGAGGGCTCTGGAAATAACTGGAGTACTCTTTTTTTTTCAGAGTATGAAAAGCCTTCCTCAGCAGTAATGGAAGTGTAGGCAAGAAACCAGAAAATGTCACGGGCTTCTTCAGGCGAGTGTACCTCACTTTGCTGTTCCATAAGCAAATGTGTGTATGTGTAGCTACAACACACCAAAGAATTGCTATGAGCAGTAAGTTGGCACGGGCAAATCCTCACTGCACAAGTGCCAGTTAAACTCTGTAAGACTGTAAAAATGAATGAGGGAAATATGTGATAAAGGAAGCCACATTCACTTCTTCACATTATCCATCCCGCTTATTTAAAATGCAAATAGGTGTAAACTTCCTTCGCAAAGGAACTAGATTTAGTGTGCATGGAAGAAATGTTCCAGTAAGAAATGTTCCTGCACGCTGCTTTAGGATTGCTCAATGCTGATTTATGTGCTGTTACTGTAAATTTGTTGGAAATGTCGAGTAGGACGTAACCGTCAGGGTCAGACCAATAGCAAGATGGGAAGCGTTAATGAAGAAAATGTTTTGTGTCATGTTCCAACAGGCAGCCTCTACAGAACTAAAACAAAGGGCTGAAGCTGGCTTAGGGAACTATATGAACAATGTAAATGTACTCTCCAGCTCTAAGAGGGGGCAAATGTCTGATGAGTCCCTCAGCGTAGCACGCAATCAAAAAGCCAGTTTGGGGCCCCAAATAAGAAACAAGACAAATCAAAGTTCAAATTTCAGAGTGAAAGTAATTATGCATTCTTGAAAATACACATTCTGGGGTTTAGGCTATAGTTTGTTAACGCTGATTTTGAGATGACAGAGGCCCTGATTAAAGAACACGGCGCCTAGCTTCTCTGCTCTTCCAGCAGAGAACAACACCCCCGCAAAACAATTCTGTTGCCAAAATGTTTCCTGATAAATTATGATATATGTAACCACAGACTTGCAGACAGCTGGAATTGTGCAATCTTTCCAGGCAGGCTTAGAGAGCTCTTAGGGATAAAGAACTGTCGTTCACAGATAAAAATAAAGCAGCTTGGTGGCTATTTATTCAAAATACTTGTCACATACCTGCTTTGAATAGTGTTTTAAAAAAAGCACAGCTGTTTCTTTGTAAACATTAACTGTAGACCTGTCTCAATCTATCACAGAAAGCATGTTTTTAAAGATGTTACTTTAAATGGAAGAAATAGGAGGAGCACTGACTTACGATAGAAAGACTTGGGTTGTTTTTATTTTTCCTTTGGGTCACTGTGGGTTACAGTGTGGAACATGCAACATGATGCAACTCTCCTGCTTATTTTCCAGTTGGATTAGTGAGGCTGATCGGAGGGATATCTGTGTTTGAATTCAATTATTTCACTTTTCTGTGTGGATTAGTAGCCTATTCTGATGTAGTCCTGTTATCTGGTGCCTCAGCTCAGTCCAGTGGCTTAAGACTCTTGACCTGCTGGATCAGCTTCTTCCACATGCCCTTTGACACGTAAGTACAAATTTTTGGCTTACTATTGGCCTTGTCGTTCATGGAAAATAAAAATCCCAGGTTAGTGCTCTTGCACTCATTAACTTTTTTCTGGATGTTTACTTGTTTCGATAGATACTGTGCTCTATACCACACTGGCCCTTGTTTTCCAGAAGTACTTCATAGAGAGGGCAACATACTGTTTCAGAAGACAAAGCTGAATACACTGGGTAAGTAATTTCTTTCTTTGCTTATTTTTTTTAGCTTAGATATTTTAAAGCTTATTTATTCAAAATGAGATCTTAACAACACACCAGCCTGTTTTGTGTATCACACATCATGTCAGAAATTATTAGAAAAGCCACACATAATTCTCTGATTAAGAAAAATAACAGAGTTGATAAATATTTAACAATGAGTAGATTAAATTTAAAATAAAATACAGCAAAATAGTAAACTAATAAACATTATGTTGCTTGAAATTAAATAATACCTATGTTTTTCAGTTAACTACCACTCTTTTCTAGTCTCCTCACTCTGAAAACCTTTCTGTTCTAGCAAGTCATGCCATGAGAAAAAACATGTTCTTTGTATACAGGGTTAGTATAAAGTGTCATTGTGGCTTTCTAAATTAAAAAGAAGGAATTAGACTGCATTCTTTTCACATTAACATCTGGGAAAGTGTTGTTCATGGTTTCAGTGACACAAGGATGAGGGGTTTTAATTTTTTTTTTTTTTTTTTTTTACACCTTCCTTTTGTCTTACTTCTATCATGACTTTCTAAGGAATAGAGAGCAGCTGATATTTAAGCTGCCTGCTTCTGCCTGCTAATGACCTCAATTGAGGTTGTTTGGAGAAACCGCATTCCAGGAGAGTCTGGGATCTTCTCTCTTGAAAGCTGTCATTGATTTTAGTATTCGTGCTACAGTAATAAAAATAGCAGCTAACGGCAAGGCTGAACCGAGGGTGAGAGAGGAGGCTGTTCATATTGGCATTCACTTACCGTGCTGGTGAAACGGATGTGTGCGTATTTAAGAGCAGCGGCTAGAGAGTCACTGTTCAATTACAGTAGTTTTCTGCTAAAGGAAACAAGCGTATCGCCTACCCCCGGTAAGCTGTTACCTTCTCTTTTTAGTACCTTTTTCAGATTTGGTCTGTAGTAGCTTTTCTCTCAAATATCCTCTGTGATTTTCTTTGGGAGGGGAATGGAGTGCTGGGGGTGGAGCAAGTCCCTCCTATGGGAAAACCAGCCTCTGTCCACAGTAACGTGATTGGAGAGGATGAAGAATTAATTCACTGAATATTTTTAGAAACATACAATTTAGACACCAAGAGGAAATCTGCTCATTTCCTACTGAGTGGGATATGTTTTCTTCAGAGGAGATCAAAATGGGTTTGTTGTTGTTTGGTGTTTTTTTTATTATTATTGCTAAAAGTGTTTTGTTTTATGATGTTCCTTCATAATGCATAATCTTGTTTGGTTTGCTTGATCTCCCCTCACACTTGAAAATGTTCAGCAGTAGAATCTGCCATGACTACTCCCTCAAAGACCTGTTGATGCTTATGCTCAGCAACAATGTTTTGAAGTTTGATCCACACATTTTTGGTCATGTTGAAAACTGCTGTTTAATCTGATTTCATGTTTCAATAACTATTAATATAAATGCGTATGGTTGGGTTTTGTGGTTGTTTTGGTTAATCTTCCACATGCAGTAAAAATTACCCAGAGTGTACTTGGAGAAGATAAGAGATTGCTCATGACTTTTAAAATGTCTTTCTATACATTTATTGATTTCTAATACAAACATAATTAAACTATGCTAGATTTTATTTTTAAATGTCATCCTTAATGTCAATCATTTTCTAACTGAAACTAGGCAAAAATGGGGGTTTATCAGTTTTATTGCCTGGTTTGACTTAGCTATCTTCATTGGTGGCAGAACAGACTTTCATTATTGAGAAATTATGTGGCAGTAGACAACAGTCACCTAAAGGAAAGGCCATTAAATTATCTGAAATAGCATTGAGTAATTTTGATGTCTACCATGTTCCAACATCTTTGATGGGAGATAACTTCCTAAATGCCCACAGCTTCCAAGGGAATCTGCTGAAGGGAATAATATTTGGTCTCTAAGTGACATCCTCTGAATCAATTTACTGCTCTTTCTTGAATTAAAAGCTGAGGATTTCAGAATATTCTAACAAATAGAAGCAGCTCGGTCCCTTGGGAAGTCTATGTGATCAGTTTGTAAAATGTCACGCTGCCATAACCCCTGACCAAGCCTTGCTTAATGATTTGGCAAAGGTTAATTATGCCCTCAAGAAGGAGGCAATCACTCATGAGGCTGTAGATCCCTGAAGGATGGGAAGTGCCTGAGAAAATCCTGCCCTGCCAAACCAGTCACGCAGTAATTTATGGAAGAACTCTCTTGGATTTCAACTTTGGTTTTCGCCTACTGTCAAGCTGTCCCTTTCCCCCTTCCTTTTTCTGTATGATTTCTGGCAGTGTCGTAACTGAAATCGAGCTATTGAGAACTACCTCTACATGGTGTTAGAGTTTTCCTTAATTTCTCAGGTGTAGGTCTACAAGTTCCTTTCTGTTGCTCTTCATGCATACAGCTGGGAGGTAAACATAAGGTTGCAAAGGATTTAGGGCCGTTATGCCTGGCGGTGCTCTCAAGGCATTCTGCTTTTTCTCTGAGAGGAAAATTTTCCTCCATTTTTTGAGGGAGCCCCTAAGGAAGAGCAGGACCTGCATGAAAACAGGTTTCTGAAGTTCTGTAGTAGAGATCACTTGCTGACATAAGGCACAGGCAAGTGTTTGAAGCTGTTTCATTTAGCCTACTGCAGCCTCTGAGGCTCCTCAGTGTGCTGATGCCTGTCTGAATCTCTCATTTTCAGAGAGAAATAGCTCTTTGTTTGTCACAGTCCATGGGGACCAAGAGAGCAGAGACTTTCCTTCATGTCAGGAAGTTTTTATGCCTTGCTCTTCAAACTTCATACGTAAGAGCTACATACTGTACTTAACATTTTTGATGCCATGAAGTTTTATTATTGCAGCTGGATTAGCCTTTAAATACTCAACCATGCTTAAGCAGAATGCCAGAATGCAAAGAACCTCTTTTAATTACTGCATAAATTAAATATTTCTTTACTCTAGAACAGAAATCCTCTGCTAGAGGATTCACCATAAGGATTTGTTAACCATTATAATATAGGATTTTCATAGCATCAGAGTCATAGAATCACAGAATCGTTTGGGTTCGTAGGGACCTTAAAGATCATCCAGTTCCAACCCCCCTGCCATGGGCAGGGACACCCTCTACTAGACCAGGTTGCTCAAAGTCTCATCCAGCCTGGCCTTGAACACTTCCAGGGATGGGGCATCCACAACTTCTCTGGGCAACCTGTTCCAGTGCTTCACCACTTTTTTCCAGCTGAAAATGGCCATCCCTTAAGAAGTCAACTTCTTACAGCTCTGATGGTTGTCCCCAGCATGTAAGCCCTCCCCCAAATGTGACCTACAGAGCTGCCCAAGTGACAGAGAGCAGTCATGCTTGAAGAGCTGGGCTTTGTAGCTTAACCTTTTTGGCACACCAGTTTAAGGCAGAAGCAGCACTGATGGTCCCAGGAAGGGGAGATGGTAGCCTGAGGATGAAGTGACAGTGATGACAGTGGTAGAGGACCATGGGACAGGTTCAGGAGGAACAAAATAGTAGAAGCTGTAAGTGAGGGAAAGGGTTAGACCATGGTGACAGACATTAGGCATATCCACAAATTGTTTTCATCATTGCCTGGATTGCAACAGTAGTGAATTCTTTACACATATGACAAAAAATTCTTCTTGTTTTGCTGTTATACGGGAAGATCTCTACAGGAGACTATTTCCTATATTTCACTAATTTTCTTAATAGCATGAAGACTTTGCTGAGACCTACCATGAGTCCTGCCTCAGTTGAACCTTGTTTATTTGAGGAAGACTTGGTCCTGGATAAAGAAATCAATAACAACTTCAACATTGTGACCCCACCGAATGAAATCAGTGCACTGTTAAAGCTAGTGGGAATATTGCTATTGGATTGGGATGGAGGGGAAACAGCAGGACAAGCAGAAGCTGATTAAAAGATTTTGCTCTCAAATTACTACTTTCTTGCAGACTTTCAGCTGATCTAGTTTAGGGTAACTTAACTACAGTGAAGTTACACTTCTTGGTTATGGAAACTGAATCTCTTATCCTTTGATTCTCAGGCTATACCTATTTGTGGATTTAATTCAGGGTCTGGGTAAAAGTTTTGCTAATGTGATATCTCTCAAAGTACAAAAGTTTGAACTGTTTCTTCTTCTGATTGTTTTTCTTTCAAAATGGTTTCACCTACAGTCACTTATTTATGAAAGAAATATTTCCCTGCACAGCTCTGGTTACACATTTTTAGAGATCTGAAATAATCTTTCGTGAGCGTAAGAGAGAAGAAAAAAATACGCAAAGCATTGTGTTACCTAAGAAAATAATTTAATCTTTACCTTTGTGCTCTCATGAAAGCTACAGATTATCAAAGTTCTACTAGGCTCAAGTAGCATTGCCAGTTTAAATGCCTAAATTCCCTTTAGCTACTGGGTCATCTGCACGCAACACCAAAGTTCAGTTTTGATATTATGTACGCAAGTTACCTGTACTAGTGACAACTTGCCAATTGCACTATGTATCCTACTTTTCCTACTGTACAGGAAAATAACTCATTTATCAGTGAGACTTCGTTTCAGGAAAACTGATAGCCATTGTTTTTGATCATCGCTTGCATAGCTCAATGTTCACATCACCTCAGAAACAGCTGTGTTTTAACTTCTCACTCCCTTTGAGCTGCACCCACTTAAACATTTGTTGATTTTTGCTCAGAACCAGAACTCTGAACGACCCACATATAAAATTTAAAAAAAAAAAAGTCTCCCAGATCAGTCACAAAAAGCATAAGGTGATTTTTAAACCAGCCTTGCCCAAATTTCTGGCATGCTGCTGCCCTGAAGGGCTCTCTGGACAGCTGCAATCATGGGAGGGGGTTTCCGCCAACACTGGGTGTAGCCATGGAAAGCAGAAACAGAGCCAGGAGGTTCTGGAAGTATTACCTCGTATTTCATGGGGCCGGGGTGGGGGCAGGGTACAGTGTGAGCTTTTTCCCCTCCTTTCTTTCACACAGTTATACAAAAAATGTGTTAATAATAGGAAACAGGGAAGGCTTACCATGAATTTTAAGGATACATGAGAGTGCCTCCCCCAGCCCAAGGTGACATTTTTTATTCTTAGAGGGACGCAGTGAGGAGATAGCTGAGTGTGAAGAGGAGGTGAGCAAAAGATGGGAGACTCAGCAGTCATGCTTGAACACCTGTAGGCAAGAATTAATATTTAACTTTACTCCAGTGTTCCCAGTGTGCTCCTGCGGTTAGAGAAAGTGCCATTGGGATGAGAAAAGCATTTAATCTTTAGAGAGAGTTTGACAACTTTTAATGTTTAATCCTCATCAGGCCTCATTAGTTACTGGATCAACTAGGAAACTGAGTTGCACCAAAAATTCTGGAAAAGAACAGATAAAATTATAAATTGTACAGGGCTGCTAAAACATATATGCTTTACAAAGGAAAGCAAACGTGGATGAAAAGCTGAACATGAGCCGGCAGTGTGCGCTGGCAGCCCAGAAAGCCAACTGTATCCTGGGCTGTATCAGGAGAAGTGTGGCCAGCAGGTCGAGGGAGGGGATTCTGCCCCTGTACTCTGCTCCTGTGAGACCCCACCTGGAGTGCTGCATCCAGCTGTGGAGCCCTCAACATCAGAAGGATATTGACCACTTGGAGCGAGTCCAGAGAAGACCACGAAGATGCTCAGAGGGCTGGAGCACCTCTGCTATGGGGACAGGCTGAGAGCGTTGGGCTTGTTCAGCCTGGAGAAGAGAAGGCTCCGGGGAGCCCTTATAGCACCTTCCAGTACCTGAAGGGGCTACAAGGAAGCTGGGGGGGACTTTTTACAAGGGCCTGTAGTGACAGGACAAGGGGTAACGGGTTTAAAATGAAAGTGGGGAGGTTTAGATTAGATATCAGGAAGAAATTCTTCACGGAGAGGGTGGCGAGGCAGCAGGACCCAAGAGCTGAGACAGTCACTGCTGTCCTGGCTGTTAGGTTTCCCTTCCCCATCCCTGAGGATCTCAGCCCCACAGGGGTGTGATGTATGCACAAGGCTGATTTATCGACCCAGCTATGCAGTTACATCATTTTTCCCATCTCCCAGCGTACTTGGATCCTGCCCTGCGAGCACCAGAGTGGGAGGCGTGTTTTATTGGACTCACTTACACAAATGTGTTCCAGGTACAGGGTGTTCAAAACTCAATCCCTATGAATACAAGTGGCTTTTACCCAGAAGTCAAGTGAGGTTAGTAACTGAACAAGCTGCATTGCTCACTGCAGTATCAATCTCACTCTAGGAACAGCTAAAGCTCTTTTCTTTATCTTCACATGAATCTAAACCTCATGAGACTGGAGTTCTGGAGTATCTTTTTCTCTCTTGTCCCTTGGGTTCCTTAGCGGATAATTTTCAGATGGATGTGATTTGATGAAACAAATAATAATGAAGTAAAGTTCTTCCTTGGATGAGAGCAAAATTTCAGGAGAGGTATACTTGTGTGGGACACTCCAGCTGTGTTAGAACATGTTTCAAGGGGTTAAGTCTATCTTTCTTTACTGATAACTTCAATAAAATAACATTGAATTATGATTCAAAGTAAATAATACATGTGAATTCGGAGTTCATGAAAGATCCAGAATCTTAAGCAAAGACAGTGGTCTCACATTTATCCATTAAAAAGGTACAGAACAGTGAAAGTTATGAAAATCCACTAGTAAGTGGTTCCTGGACTGCAAGATAAAAGCAGGCAAAATAATTGCTTTTCGTTCTGCTTGTGCTTTGTGTGCTAATTATCTGTGTCTCTGATGCCGTGTGTGTTACAAAAGATGTTCTATCCTCTTGTTTCAGGTAATGATAGTTGAGGATGCCAGCCTCCTGGAGAATATGCTGCAATAAAAAATCCAAAACCAAGAATGGGAAAGCTGAAATGGACAGTATGGCAGACACAAGTGGAAAAATGCAGATGAAGAAAGAAATCACGTTACTGAATGGAGTTTCTTTAATTGTAGGGAACATGATTGGCTCTGGGATATTTGTATCACCCAGAGGTGTTTTAATGTACAGTGCTTCCTACGGACTCTCTCTAGTCATCTGGGCACTTGGTGGGATGTTTTCGCTGTTTGGAGCTTTGTGTTACGCTGAATTGGGAACATCCATCGTTAAATCTGGAGCCAGTTATGCCTATATCCTGGAAGCATTTGGTGCCTTTGTGGCCTTCATCAGACTGTGGTCTTCCTTGCTAATTATCGAACCAACAACCCAGGCAGTGATAGCAATCACATTTGCTAACTATATTGTTCAACCAATTTTTCCTCATTGTGAGCCACCATATGATGCAGTCAGGCTGATTGCAGCTGCTTGTATTTGTAAGTAAAGTTATGATTCCTAGAAGTTAAGAACTATAATTAGAGGTGCCCAGAGGGATTTTTCTGAATTTCTCTTCCTTCACATTGTGTGAAAATAATCACTGCCTCTCTAATACACGTTCTTAGGAACTAATAACCTTTTATTCAGATAGATGTTATTTGAGGCTAGGATTATTAGAGGGGAGAGGACAATTACAATTTGGCTGGGAGAACTATGCTGATTAAAGAGACCTATATCTCTATGGATCATTGACCTAATTCGCAGCCTGTGTTTGGGCCATGTCCTCTCTCCCCTATTGCTTGCAAATCAAAAAAAATTAACAAAAATCTTAAAATCCATATGGAATTAAAAATACCCTGCCTACTGTGAGTTTTATCTTTAGAAAAATGGTGCAGTGTAACCAGACACTTGGCAGAGTTGACTTTGTGGTGGCTGTATGTCAGGTAACCCCAGGGGTAAGCATTACAAATCTACCCACCAGTAGACGAACTGCACCCAGATTTTTTTCTTTATAAACAAAGATTTGTCAAGATGGAGTGTGTGTTCCTTTTAGGCTGTGCTGCAGCATGGTCTTTTTCAAACAGCTTAAATTGTACAACTCAACAAAAACTTCCAAAAGGATGAGTAATTTTAACTTAAGATAATGAATACCCACGATTCTGAGAAAGTGTTTTCTCTGTAGAAGTTCACTTCTGCAAAAGGCTCCACGGTAGAACTTGAGTCCATCATGACCATTCAGCCATCTAAAAGGCAACTAACCCTCTTCCAAAAGACTTTGTCACTTGAAATTCTCCATTTGCATAGGTGCACCTCATGAAATCCTAACACTTAGGAGAATGCTGATCTCTCTGTAAGCCTTCATTTTCTTTGTTATTCTTACTGGAGTCTTCATGAATCAGCTGTGTGCTCCAGCACCTCTGATTTCTGAGCTGATGCCCAGGTGTGGCTGGCAGCTACTGCTTTCTCATACAGTGGATGAGCTGCCTCACTACTGACCAGGCTTAGCATTTTGAGTAACAGCCCAGATTGCAGGAAAAATTACAGTGTATTATATTAACTGTCATATGTAATTTAGACGTGTCATATAGCAAATTTATTTGTAGCTTGAACAATTTTGATAAGGTTCAGGAGCCTTGAATGTAATTGGCACTTCACCGACATATTAGAAAGAACTTATTTAAATATATGTATTTACTAGAATCTATGGGGAATTCCATGGCAAGACCTGATTGCTTTGAATTTAATTACACTCTGCAACATGTACTACATGTTGTGTCATATACACACGCAGTAAACATATCCTTTGCAGTGTTTCAAATAGCACTTCATAGTATCACAAATGACTCCTAAAAGTTCAGTGTTAACAACTTCAGTCAACACTTACTTTATAATTTTCAAGACCTATAATTCTAACAGTTACTGATATATACTGCTGTATTTTTAAGAAAGAGGTATATGGTTATATTCTACTAAGAATGTCTTTAAACTGTAAACCCTAAAGTCTTATTTCAATGTATACGCCACATTTACTAGAGCAAGGTTTGCAGAAGTCAGTATTTAGACAGGTTTAATATTCAAATATGATACTAGGCAGGAACAATCATTATATAACCTTTTCGTTTTTTTGTTTAATACCAGAGTAAAACCAAAATTCTGTCCCCCTTGCACAGCACTGGTCTATTAATAGGAAACAGTGAGGGCAAATCAGCTCCCGTTTCTGTCAATAGGTGTATTATTACCTTGACCATCGACAGGACACTCAGATATGCAGAGTCACTTGTGATCATGAAGGCAAGAAGTTCTGAGTTCTGTCAAAGAATGAATGGCCCATCCCCTCAGCCATGGGCACAGAGTAACAGCCTGCTGGCCTGGCTCATTTCGGTGTCTTGTCAACAGCATCCAAACTTTTCAGTGCAGAAACTGTCCTTGCTCTGTGCGTAGACTAGAGCCCAAATCAACAGGGAGAACTTTAGGAGAAAATAAAAGATGTAGAAAAATCTCACCTTCGGAATGTGAGCAGCTCTGCTGGCTTCAATAAAATTTCAAGATTATTTAAACAGAGCAGGAGTTAGTCCTAAAATTCAAAATCTGATTTGTCTTACCTATTGTCATGAAAACAGTGTCCTCTAAAAAGCTATGGTGTAACTTTTAAATCTGATATTTCATTCATTTTAATAAATCTAGGTGGTCCTGAAATGGTGAAATTTCATTCTGTTTCTCGAAAGAGGAGTGGCAACTGGAAGGATGTATGTGAAGTGTGCTTTATGTGACATAAAATATCAGTGCTCCTCTCATACATATGCTTTTTCTCTACAGGTTCCTTAACATTTATTAATTGTGTTAACGTGAAGTGGGGAACCCGTGTACAAGATGTTTTCACATATGCAAAACTTATGGCTCTTATCTTGGTGATATCTGTTGGTCTTTACAAAATTGGTAAAGGTAAGAATATTTTTCATTTACTTTAATTCTAAAAGTGAACCATATATGAGTTTCAGAGTCTGTGTAGGAAAATAAGACTTACGAAGTGTTATTTATTCTGGAAAAAAATATCAGCCCTAGGAATATTAGAGAAATTTTATGTCTTTTTAAGTAATGGGGGTTTAATTATTCTTCTACCCTCGGAGTGGCAAGCCAACGCATGACAACTCCTGTGTTGCTCAGGCTGAGTAACAAATAGCAGCTGACCTAATACCAGTTGAGTGCTAAATAGTTTAAAGCCAGCCTCAGTCTCTGACTTTGCTTTGTAAAGACTCTCATTGCTACTTGTCCTGTGACAGGGCAGTGCAGCAGAAATTGCCGGGCGCATCCTTCGCATCGCATCCTCACCCCCCTGCCCTGCCCATGGCAGACAGCCACCTCAGCACCTTGCGAGGTGAGAGCACTGGGGAGGGAGGAACTTGTCCTTTCGTTCACTGGTGAGAAGGCGTGCTTGTTCCTAGAAACAAGGGAAAAGATGAATACGGCAGTCCTATGAATCACTGTGGTGCTGTAAGACGTCACAGGACACATGAGCTATCCTGTATCAGCAGTAACTGAACTGCATACACTGAAAAGCTGGAGACTAGTTTATTCCAGTGCTACCTCTGATCTTTGCATATGATGATAGATTTGATTTTATTAATTTGGGTCTCTGGTACAGTGAAGTCTTTTCCAGTTCTAGCTATGTTGCTCACTTGCTAAGGTTTCTTCGTTTTCCTTTCCCATGAAATTCCTAAATAGCCACTGTATCTTTATTAACTTAAAATAAAGATGGTTTTCCCTCTTTGGTTTAGAAATTGCCTTTTTCTACTGCTGAAACCAGCTTACAAAACCTAACGAGTGTGCTTGCTTTTCTGCATTTGCTGGCCTTCTCTTCTTGGCTGCAGTTCTAAAGCATCAGCTGTTACGCTGTAAAGCTACACCAGGTTTTGAGAGCTTTTTGGATTAGCCATTATTTGTGAATGTTAGTTGTCCCTGTTTTGTTCAAGTCTAAAGAAAACTGAACAAATGAGCCCAGTCCTAAAGGCAGGAATGTGAAGACGCAGAGGAAAAACATCACTTAAGGACCACAGTTGCATGAAGGAGTAGCTCCCCTCATACAGCTGCTGCTGTTTTACAGAGGCGTGAGTCCATGATGTCACCCCTCGAGCAGCGTTTGCCCTGTCTCCACAGCCATGAACATCCCTGTGATTTCACCCTGACTCCTTCAGAACTCCCAGCCTGCTCGCTGGCGTGCAGCTGCCACGGTGTGGTTTGGCCCAGGGGCCATTCCCTCTGCTCGTGCACCCACATAAACCACGTAACCCTGCCTTGGTCCGTGGGGTCAGGGGGGGTAAAGGCGGAGAGGAAACATTACAGGGAGGAACACAAAATGCTGAGGGCTTTTAATGGTGGCAAAGGTCTTGTCTCTGCTTTGTTTAAGCAGAACCGAGCACTTAAATACAGAAAAGACTGGGAGGAGGGATGATACCGACTTCTGGAGGAAGCTGTGATCGGGTCAATGCACTCTTAAACTCAGCAGCTGTTTTAATGAAAAGAATGTTTACATCGTTACTGCCCTGCTGTATTCCTTCTGATGTGCTCAGATACGCCTCTTGCTTTAAAACACTGTGAATGTATCTGATTTTGAACATGAGCTGTTTATGGAAAAAAGCTTTTCTTGTTCCTTTGGATTTTTATGGGGTTTTTTTCCCTTCTAGCCATTCTCTTCCACACGGTGCGTGTACATCTCATAGCTAAACCTTCCTCAGTTCAGTCAGTGTCCTGGTAGTTACTGCTCTTCATGGGTTGAATTGCTTTTGTGGTATCTATGAGCTGCTTAGTTTAACCACAGGGTGAAGTTGTTTCTTTTTATAACAAAGACCTCACTTTCTTCCCTAATAGAGGTTTCACATGTTTCTGTTTTCCTTAATACATAAACCCACTTCCATTTATATTAGATAGTCAACTTTCCTTCTGCAAACCCAGTAAGGCCTTTCTTCCCCTTTCCGGAAAATTGCAGTGAAGGCTCACGCAGTTTCATTAACCTTTTGTCTGTTTTGCAGCATTCTGCAGGTTATTGTCTCAACTGATTGAGCTGAACTAGGGAAGAATTTTGAAAAGAATAATTTTTTAAGTCTACTGTTTTAATTTTGGGGAAGACCTCTGTGGGGCAGAGCATCCCACTGAGAACCATGCCTCCACGAGTTCCCCCTCCAGTCGCCACTAATTCATATGGTGAAAACAAAACCACAGATAATGAGGAAGAAATACGAGACAGATGCAGGAATTAAAATTGGGCTCCCCAGCTGCCTCTGCCTGGCTGACAGGGCATAGCACAACCTCAGTAGGGCTCCCTCCTTCGGTGGGCTAGATGGCAGTGGTAGACTTCCACAAGTCACATCCAAATAACAGTCACAGGACAAGGTCTTCTGCTGTCTCCCTGTACAAGTGTAACTCTCTGAACGTCTTGACTGAAACTTTCCTATTTGTCAAGTGAAAATAAAATCTGTGCGCTTTTAGAAAAAATAATAAAACCTGGATGCAGTGGGGTTTTATTTCTTTTGGTTAGCTGAGACTTTTAGTGTAGTGTCCTTCTATGGTGTAATCCTTGAAATGTAATCCTTGAAATGTAACAGGCAATTGGTACCTGCCGTTTGTACAGGAGAAACGGAAAACCTGAGAGCTCCGTTTGAGGGCTCAGCAACAAACCCAGGGATGATCGCGCTCGCTCTCTACTCCGCTCTCTTCTCCTACTCGGGATGGGACACACTCAACTACGTCACCGAGGAAATGCAGAACCCCGAGAGGTAAAAGGGTGCTTTTCCTTTGAATCCTGAAGTGTCCTGGTAAGGCAGGTGATGGCAGAACTACCACTCTGTATTTGTTTCTGATTGGTAATTAGTCAAATTATTTTCTCTGCAAAAACCTTCTTCTTTTCCAGAGAAATTCTAAGTATGCAAACTGTTCCTGATTATTGTCCTCTCAACAATTACATCACACTAATAAATCACTTGTCTGCACATAAGTATTTTAAACCTTCCACTTTAGGTCAATATTTTTAAAGGAGAACCAAAATCCCTGCTGAAAGCAGGGAAAAGTGTGAATCTGTCTAGCTGTCTATAATTCCCTATTTCTTTTCAGTCAGGTAGAACAATTCTTTTATTTTCCACCAGCAGAGCAAGACTGTTTCAGGTTTATGACTGGTTTATCATGTGATCTTCAGCATTACTGTTTATGGAAAAAATGTTTAATCTTACTAAAAATGAAAGGTTAAGTAAAAAATAAGAAAAATTCTCCAGTAGCACTGGAAATATCTCCTCCCTCTGTAGGGATGTCCACCCTGTGGGACTGATGTGCCTCACCCATGCAGACTGAGTCCACCTTGTCTTGGGACATATGTAGGTTATGAGTCAGGAAAAAAAAGCTGCGGTCAGGAATACACCTAAGTGTGCATTCAAATCTCATTGCTTAGGTGCTTTCTTAAACTGATTCACAGAAAAGACAGTGTGTAAAATTTACAGGTATAGACAGACCCACAAGCAGCCAACTAAACTGCTTATGGAATTGTTCTACACATGGGTGCACATTATTTTGTAACCTCATGATTACAAAATGATGGATTACAAAAAGGGATGGAGGCATCCATTCACAAATGTTTGAACTTGGGAACAATCCTCTATTTAAATATTCCTTATTCAAAGATCATTAAATAATGTTGCCATTTTCCTTTTGCAGGAATCTACCTCTTTCTATTGCAATTTCAATGCCTATTGTGACTGTTATTTACTTGCTGACTAATATAGCGTACTATGTAGTGCTGGACATGTCAGCTCTTCTCACAAGTGATGCAGTGGCTGTGGTAAGTTGTATAAAATAATTAAACCAGAAGTTACTGTATGGATAACACTGTGGAAGAATCTCGGGTAGCATACTTCTCAGCAAAACAATTGAAATATTGCCATGCTGAAGGTTGTTGCTTTGTTTTAAACTTTGCTTTCATGTAAGAATAACATTGTATTAGAAGGTAGATATAAATAATACATCCAATAAATGTGCTCATGTAAAATCCTCTTATATACTCTGCAAATCCTGGTCCTAACAGTACTTAATCTTAGAAGATGCTTTTGCCAGGGCAAGAGAAAGAGCTATGGAAACACTGGGTGGCTTAAGAACCAGGGGGGTTTGCCATCATTCTAATGTATAATGTGTGATGTTTAAGGCTGCATGATCATAGCAATATTTTCAACACAAAGCTGTGCAGTGAAATACTTTTTAAAACCTTGTCAACATTTTATACAGAAGTACAGTTATAAGTCAGTGATTACTACAGTCAGGATTTGTCAGAATACATTAAAGCAAATACATCTTATATTATCTCTTAGACTTGATCGAGGCTTAGAATATTTTTTTTAATTCCTTTTTTAATGTATCTGACATTTTTATTTGGATACCGATTGGTGTTTCCAAGTTCTAATTTCCCAATTCATTATTGGGTGTCATAAGAGAGCATGAGCTATGAAACTATATTTGGGCTGGTGTGTTTTCACGGGAGTTTCTCAGGATTATCCATATGCTTAATGTAACAGGCCTCACTATTATTTTCTTTTCTGTTACAGACGTTTGGCGGTGAAACCCTTAGCTATGCTAAGTGGATAATCCCTATAGCAGTAGCCATGTCTTGCTATAGTGGCTTAAACTCATCAATAATTGCAGCATCTAGGTATGAAATACAAGATTTATTTTAAATAATTGAAAAGGAATCGTATTATTAATCTGCATTCTTTACTATTGCATTGTAAGAGTGACAGAGTTTTGTCCTGTGAAGTTGTTCATTTCTGATGTAAGGAGTGTTACGAACTGACGTGTCTTCCCATGATCAGCACCAATTGATAAATTAAAGCCACTTGAGAAGAGAGCAGCATTTAAAATAGAGTAATAGCAGGATTCATGCTGCCTTTGCCAGAAAGCAACAAGCTATTCCTTGGCTCACTGTCTGGTTGAGTTTTCTTATTCTTTTTTTCAGGCTTTTTTATGTTGGAGCCAGGGAAGGACACCTCCCTGACAGTCTGAGCTTGATTCATATAAAGTGCTTCACACCTGTCCCTGCCCTCCTCTTCAATGTGAGTGACAGCCCGGCCCCTGTCAGATGGGGGTTCAGATGGGGGTTCAGATGGGGCAGATGGGGGTTCAGACCTGGAAGTGACAGCCCGGCCCCGTGCCTGGCTGGGGCAGATGGGGGTTCAGACCTGGGGGGGGTACAGCACCTCGCTTCTGCCTATTGTTTCTCCCTGGCTTCTCCAGAGCTGGAGACATCTTCCTCAAATGCCCCCAATTTCTGAGACTCGTTGAGGGTGGCAGTGGTGGTCTTTTGTCTGGTGGGGTTTTCCTCAGTGGAAAGAAATGGCTTGATTCACATTCATACACTCTGTAAACAGAGTGAGAAGTGAGTACAACAGCACCACTTCGAGAATGGCTAAATATGTAACAGTATGGACAGGAGTTCAGTCTTTGCATGAGTTTTCAGAGTGTCACTGGACAAAATATGTCCGCAACATCTCTCAGACCCTGCCGTAAGGCTGATTTTCTACGACTCTGGTTAGAACAGGAGTGACAAAGCACTTTAAATTAAATTTCTACCATGGGATGCCTATAGCCATACTGACTTTTTCCTGCTATCACTATACAAATGAACCTTGTGGCACAAAATCAAGGAAACACAAGGCATAGAATTAGTGCAAACGATTTTAGTAAATAATTCATAAATCTAAGATTAAAATAAGGGGGAGAATACGCACAGAGAAGATGGAATCATTCAAAAGCCTTCCACTACTGTTTATTTGAATATGTATTTTATTTGATGTCTTCCGTTGCCTTGTGTTACACATGGTTTATGAACAGATTATCATACCAGTCCTGTTTGACATCAATTAATTTACTAAAAGTTATAATCTCAATATGAATACACTTCTGTTTGTACCATTAAGATGAGTTATACTTCCTTAATACACTGCTATTCACATTTTTCACAGTGGAATTTTTTTCTGCTCATCTGTTAAAATAGGCATTAAATTCCTGGTATTGTAGGTCTTTCCGTGCAGGCAGCATAGAATACCTGCATACCACCGAATTTACTCGAATGGTCTAAGTGTATGAGTGGACTGTGAGAGCCTCCAACAATGTACCTAAAGTAAACATTTGCTTTCCAGCTGAGGCCAAGCAGAACAGCGGAATAAGCCGCTGCCTACGGAAAGCTTCTTAGCAGCCTTGTCCATAGTGCAGCAAAGTGTGGGGCTCCTCATCTGGCCTTCTTAGGAGGGTTTCTTCCTGGTGCTGAAATGTAACTTCACAAACCAAACACTTCATCACCCAAATGTGGTAGTCCCACTGCCATGTTTAAAGAAGAGAAACCAGCATGTTTCAACCCGCTTATCTGCAGGTTTCTCAGAGTTTGAAGTACAACCTTCTTGCAAGGACTCAATCTCTTAACTCCAGGCAAATACGTTGGAAACAGGCCATTTTTTAACTTTACTACCCCTATTTTATAAGACATGACTTTATTTTCACATTAAAAAGTCTTTGGTTTTATTCTCTCTAGGGCTTAATGACTTTGGTTTATCTCCTTGTGGAAGATGTTTTCCTCCTCATTAATTACTACTGCTTCAACTACTGGCTCTTTGTGGGTCTGTCTATTGCAGGACTGATATATTTGAGATATACTCAGCCACACAGACCACGGCCTATTAAGGTAAGTAAGTAAGAGTGGAAACAAGCCCTAAAAGCCAGCTAAGGCACATGTTTATGTGATCCTTAATACCACAGCATAGAAAATACTATCAGCCATAGAAATCCTTTCACCATACAAGACAAGAAATGAAGGAGCAAAACCAATTTGATTTTCCACAAGAATATCTGGTTTGGTCCTTCTGCTGTGAGGTTGAAATGATATTTACCATTTCCTTTTCCTTTCATTCAACTTTATCTTTGTTTCAAAGGAATAAGGAATATATAAATTCCTGGGGTTCTTAACCCATCCTGGAACAACCCCCTTTTGTATTGTTCACAGCAGACCTCAGTAGAGCTGGTGGTGAGGGCACCAGAGAGGTTCATACTCTGATCAAACTTACATGACAAGATATTCAGCAAAATCCCTCCAAAGCCCATAAGTGCCCAAAATTCTATTCAAGCAGAAAATCAGAAGACAGTAAAATTCATGTTTAATGACTGATTGCAGAAGAGCATCTGGCTATCAGTTAGGAGAGGGAGACTGCAGCAAAACAAAGCACGCCTAAAACTTATTTCTAGTTTTAATCCAGTGATTGTCCAGGAAGCAGGAACAGAAACCCACAGCTTCCCTCAGGCACACAAAACCACGTGCTGCCTCCCATTTCCCTTTGCTCTCTTGGCTCCATGACCTGCATTTCAGTTCTGCAGTGATGCAGTAAAAATTATGAGAAATCCAAATTAACACCCTATCTAAATATTTGTACCTTGCCACTCACTCTTACGAACCTCCTGCACCATTTTAACCAACACGTTTTTTTTCCTGTTTACGTGTAACATCCTGATTATATCAGATATGGTTCAAACAAAGGAGTAAAATATCCTGAGCACCTACTGCTAGGAAACCTTCCAGTCTTCCATAGCAGACCAAATTTTCCTGAAGCATGTTCACACTTCATTTCCAAACTCTCCCCCAAAATATGTGGAAGATAAAGATTAAATCTTGCCTTATTGGCAGTTTTGCTATTGACTGCTAAAGCAAGGATTACAGTCAGATTAGAGATAATCACTGTTTAATTCCTATCAGCATTTGCCAGCTTAGTCAGTGTCACAACTCTGCATTCATTTTTTTCTTTACTGAAATGTAGCAGTTGGTTTTCATCAACTTACACTTTTAACCTTTATAAGGAAAAAAGAATATTTATACCAGTAACCTCTTCAGGATTTTCAGCTAGTATTCACATGTCAGCTCCTGGACTCTTAAGAAGGCTCATTGCTACAGCCAATGAAAAATAAAACCATAAATAGGTTATTGCAAATTTCATTATTATTGGTATGATATTTGTTAAGTATCCAAGCAAAATGGTGGTACATCAGTCCATTAGTTGCGCCACATCAACATGGCAGCTGAAAATCTAGCTGAGTTAGTTCCCAATCTAACTTACAATTAAAAATTTACAATGAAGTTAGAGGGAAAATGAGCCATTGCTCCTCAGGTTTAAAGTACTGCATTCAAAGATTGATCTCTTACTAATGAGGAAAGGAACTGAGCTTGTGCAGGCCTGAAAATACCAAAATGGTCAGATACTCTGCTGTGTACCAAAGCTAGCAAATTGTAATGACTGTAGGCAGTCAAAAGATTTAGTACATAGTAGTCATACAGTCAGTAGTTATATTTCTGTTATTGACTTGTCTAATTTTAATCTGCAAAGCCTGACAAAAGAATATTTACTGCAGCTTTTAATAATGTTGGATTTTTTTTTTTTTTAATCTTCACAGCTTAACCTCTTCTTCCCTATAGTGTACTGTTTATGTTCCCTTTTCCTGGTCATAGTTCCTCTCTACAGCGACACAATCAATTCCCTTATTGGCATTGGTATTGCCCTCTCTGTCATTCCTGCATATTATGTGGGAGTCTATCTGCCATTTGAAAAACGACCTAAATGTCTACAGTGGCTCTCTGGTAAGCAACATCATCTTGTCTTAGTCAGTGTGGTGAAATCTTGAGTGCTTGGTCAGAAGACAGAAAGAATAATTTTTCCTAAAAAACCTTTTTCTTTACAAAGTTTTACTATGCTGTATATGGCATGTCTGAGATCATTTGTTTCATCATGTGGTCCTGAAAACAAAAAACATGCATACCCGTACAAAGCAGTCCAATATGCAGATACATATATTGCCATCCAAGATTTGTGATGTTGAGCCATTTCAAGATGTTGGCTCAATAAAAAGCCCTGTAGGATTGTGAAGACTAAATGCACACAGTTTGATACCCTGGAAGGCAGAAATACCAGGGCACCACTGCTTCACTTTCTGCCTAAGGAGTGGAACATCTGAGTCAGAGATGTCTGTGAATTTTCATAAATTATGAATAATGAATTGTTGACCTGCATGGTAGTTTCCATTCCTCAAGTTCAGAGAATCTTGAAAAGCAAAACTTCAGTATTTTTATTCAGTTGGAACTCAGCTATCAATCTGACAAGTCAATGAAAATGTTGATAAAAGTCTGATTAAATGAGACTTTCTGTTTAATTATTGAGCTCCTTTTGCCTTTAGCTATTTATAACATGTGCTTAATTCAATTGATTGGGTGTTTTAGGATTTCCTCATACCTGCGTAGAGCTTTCAAATCCTCAAAATCCATGTATTTGTCTTAAGACATATTATAACTTTGTTTCACACCTTTTTGCTATGTATTACAGCTACAACAACAAAGTATGTTCAGATGCTCTTCTACTGTGCTCTGTCAGACCTGGACATAGACATGGAACCTACATCAGCTAAGAGTAAATAATCGCCTTGACACTGAGAGTTGCACCTTGACATTTTCTATCTGGAGCGATTTTTATCATCTGTGTTCAGTTATGCTAAGGCACTAACAACATACTATGCATCAGTTTGATGTCTGTTAATTTGTGCTTGTTTATAAACCACTCTGTTTTACAGGATTTAAAAGAAAAAATTGTTTGCTAATAGTGAGATATCATGAAATGCTTTGAAATTGTAAAACGCTGTATGAATTCAGCGCTTAGAATTCTCTACTAATTTCTTAGTAGAGAAGTGGTAAATACTCAATTAATTGAAAAATTGTAAAAAAAAAACATATTAGGTCTAGTCATGATCTTAAGAAATCATAGAATCATAGAATGGTTGTGGTTGGAAGGGACCTTAAAGACCATCTAGTTCCAACCCCCCTGCCATGAGCAGGGACACCTTCCACTAGACCAGGTTGCTCAAAGCCTCATCCAGCCTGGCCTTGAACACTTCCAGGGATGGGGCATCCACAGCTTCTCTGGGCAACCTGTTCCAGTGCCTCACCACTTTTGTTGATAATTATTGATAAATATAACAAAAGACGGACCAGATATTTTCAAGGTTCAAAACCTGAACTGGAAAGTAGAAGCCACAGTGTAGTTCTGAAAATATAACTAAATTCTTAGCCATAGTAAAAAAAAAAAGATAATTCAAACTGGTAGGCATGCTTTGTATCAATGTTGTATTAGTGGTAAACCATTCTAATGCATAATTCATGAAATACATGTTGTACCAAAAGGGGAAAACCAATCTTTCCAGTCATTTAAACTCTGTTAGAGATTCTCATTTGATGCTCTCCGGCATTCATTACCCTTACGCAGAAGAGGCATTTTCAATGAACAAATGATACCATTGTAACTGCAGTACTTTTGCTTTCCAGCGGAACAACCTTCCATGGCTCACTGTGAGGGACTGAGTTATGTTCCAGCTAGAGTATATTCAAGGAAAACAGAAAACTCTTCACCTTTTCATAGTGTCCATTACTGGTCTAGAAGTATCAAAGGTGGGACCCCATGAATGTTTTCCACTGGGAACGTATTTAAGGAATTCACAAAGAGAAATTAAAAACTACTGATTTTTAAAAAATCCCTTGAGCCTCTGCCCAGCCCTTCGTGCCTCACCAGTTCGTGCTGGCGAGGTAACCTGCAGGTCTCCTGCTGAGCAGGCAGCGAGCCTCCCGCAGTGGCTGACAGTCCTTCCCGTGGCGTAGGTGGGTCAATACCCGTTGCACAATACCCAGCGCAGCAATGTGCGGTGCGTGCCATGAAGGCAAAGGGCGGTTGTGAACTAGGATCGTTCTCTTGACCATTAAGTTTTTCAGTGTGGAACTTGGGAATGTGCACGAGTCCTCATTCTTAGTCTTCTGAAACGGAAGAGGCAATAACTGTCGTTAAAAAAAAAGCCATCAACCTTGCAACCTAGACCATAAAACCAGCACTATTATGCTTTGTTGATATGTAGTACCATTTGTTATCCTCGCTGGCAAGTCGTACTTCCTTTCTGTAATTATATTTGAACATAACATCCATTGTTTCTAATTAGAGTTTTGTCATTCCTATTCAATTAACCCCAATTAAGGTAATTTAATGCTACACAAGTCCCTGTAGCTTCTAGTGATATTGTCTTTTTTTGATGTCTGCCAGAGAAAGAGCAATGGAATAGGGAAGGCGGCAATTGATGCTACTTAAACCTCTCTTCATTCCCTCCTCACACTGGAAGGTCATTTGCAGGATTGTAATTTCGTGCACCTCCAACAGTGTTTGCTGACAGGGCTCCTGTGAAACCCTCTGTTTGCGTTTCCATGACACCTGCTGTGGCAGTTTCCTTGCAGCAGGGATAAAAATAAACAATAAAAATGCACTAGATTAAGGTAAACATGAAGATATTAGAAATGCATGATATACTTTTTGGTAGCCAAAGCTTTTTGAGCACTGAAATCACGTTAGGATCGCAATCACAAAACACAGTGGGGAACAAAGGGTGTAGTTTAGTTGTCCCAGCTCAGAACATCCCTGTGTAATCTTCACACACCCAGCGCATGCCTCTGTTACACTACAGCACCGTTTTGATCCTGCTCTACGACTGTATGGAAATATACTGCGTTTTCACCCCATCCCTTAAAAAACACTGGTGATCGACAGAGCTGCAGCCCCAGACTGTGTCAGGGCACAGAGAGAGTACGAACCCTACAAGTCGGTACCAAACTAAACTGACAGTCTGTGCCTCTAGAGAGTTCAAAGCCATGCTTGGTGCTGAGCTGTGTCACACCAAGACAGCACTGTACCATCCTCTGAAGGTTTCCCTTGCAGGGCCAAAGTTCCTAAGTGGTTTGAGACACCAGATGTGACATCTCGGGTGGTAACAGAAAGCAGGCACTACAGGCGATGTAGTAAGGGCCACGGACTAAGACCATTTCCCTAGAGCATTCTGAGCTGAACTTATTTCTTTGTCTGTTTTTTTTTCCAAAATCTGGTTTTGCGTGAAGCCGTTAACTTTCTGGTCATGACGCGCAAGCCTTCATTTTCTTTCTTTATGGACCGAAGGAAAGTAGTAGTCAGATGCAAGGTTATAAATGGGAAAAATGTTATTGAAATTCTCTGTGGACATCAGAATCTCAGAAATGATAACGTGTTTGTTGATTTTTCACTCCTTACAAATAATACAAGTTATTTTCAAATACCTAAAGCAACTCATAGATGCCAAAGTATTTAAATTAAAAAAAGCCAACATTTGATCCTTGGTAAATGCCATACTTGTGTGGTTTTAAAGCACAAAAATAGTATTGTGAATGAAATTCACCCTGACTTCCATCTCGTAAATTGGTTTGCCAGGAGAGCAGTGAGTCTCTAACTCTTATTTGTGTTCTCTGTAACACAACAAGATAAGCATTTATGAAAGGAAAAATTTCTGGTTGTTTCACATGGGATTCTTTCTCACTGCGGTTATGAGCAATTCCTTGCTCAGACGCTTTCTTACTCTAAATATGAACACATCTTTTTACGTTATTCACAGATGCTCAATTATGCGG